GAGCCGACAACATGATTACCTCATTCCAAGCTTCCGTTCGCTTCCGCTCAGCTCAGCTTGAGGGGGAATAATAACAGATAGTATTAAATAAATAGTATAAAATAATATTAGTATTTACTGTGTACTAATCCTAGTCCTATTAGGATTAGTATTCCTTAATCCTAATCCTATTAGGATTAGTACTCCTTCCTATATCTCCTATATATATCTCCCATGTATACCCTTAACACTTCAATACAATCAATATTCCCTCAAAAGTGAACACCTTGCCGGATATCCTTTTCAGAAGAATTATTCCATAAGTTTCAATTTTGGCTATTGCAGAATTACCAATCTCATCAGGTCCGTTAGAGCATATAAACCAAACACTTCCTTTACAACACAAACATGACATATGAATTTTCACCAATATTCATGTTTACACAAGTAGTTATATTTTAATAGACACATCTTTTTATGAAAAATCACAATATTTTAAGTGATACTCTTTCATAAAATTTTTTTTTTTAAATAAGTATATATTTAATTTAATTGTCTGATACTAGTCATATCATATACTTGTAACTCAATGACCATAATATCAAATATACTCCAAAAATTTTATAGTTCTAACTTCTAACATAATCAAGTATTTGAAATAATTTTTAACATATTTTATTTTTCTGCTTCAAATTATGAGATTTAATAGACGATGAGGTTCAACTTAAATCTTCCCTCATTCCTAATTATCTAAACACTTAGAATTAAAAGAAAATCATGACATTTGGACAACAAATGATCCATTTAAAGAAAAGTGTCTTGCCATGTATGTTGTTGAATTAAGATCATTGAAGATGCCTTCAATATTGGATGTAATACTCGCACAAGTTTTTCTCTACCAAATTTTATCAAAACAGATAATAAACATTTGAAAATAGATTGTTAAAACTATTAAGCCTATTAACACATTATTTTACTTAATCATCTCTAATTTCACCAAGGTGATGGTCAGGAAAAAGAATATATATTTTTTTTTTTTGTTTTACCTTTATAGAAGTGTGGGTTAGGCTGTCGGTATTAACATTGTTTATTGCCAATAGACTCAAAATCATTTTGAGTTTTCATCTTTAGGCTCTTTTTTTTTTTTTTAAAAAAAATTAAATATCTAGACATGTGAATTGAGTTGATTATAGTTGTGCAATAGTTAATCTGATTATTATTCGTCTCACTTTAGTTTCTTTATTATTATCATTAACTATTATTATTTCAGAGCATACATTTTTATATATTGATTTCATTAAACAAAATTTTGATTCCATTTATTATTTTTAAAAAGATAAAATTTTGATTCCATTTAATTATTTTTCAAAATTAAAAAGTATGACAAGTCAATACTAGACAAATAAATATAAATAAAGGGAGTACAATAGTAATATTTTTATTATAGAAGAATGAGCAAATATTTGAATATCAACATGCGTGACTTAATCATATTAATTTATCATTAATATGTTTACTTTTATTTTGTGATATACAAATTCTCCAACAATATATAAAAAGATATCATGAAAAATATTTGTATTCAAAAAGAAAAACTATTTATTAACGGATATTTCTTTATTTCATATTCTTATTCTTAACCATCAATGCGTGTTTACTGTCTAATATAATCGATGTGTGTGCACGTTGTATATATATATATAATGACACTAAAGACGAATAAGCAGTCCCGCAGTGAAAACAATACTATGTTACTCACTAATACCATTAAAGTAAGTGCGTATATGTATATATATATATATATGTATGTATATATATACTATGATGATATTGAGGATGATCAAGTGGTGTTTTAGTATGAAGACTACTCATTTATTGCTTGATATCATCAGAATATATAAATACCATCAGATTTTATATATACTCCGATAATATTAAGGATGAAAAAGTAATATCCAGTGAATAAAATAAGAAAACAAATGAGTAAATAGTTTGGTTTTCCAAAAAAAGTACAAGTATAAGAGACAATACAAGACAACTCAAGGCATCAAATTATGATAGTAAATTCATTTTTTAAAAAAATAAATAAATCCTAAAAGAAATAGGGAACAAAAGAACACTCTTATATGAAATCAAATTCAACAATTCATTTCAATAATAATAAATAGCGATCAGTCCGTTAATTTATAATTAAAGTTCAAAACTATAATAAATGGTATCTCAACAAATTGAATTATAATATTTAAAAAATTAACTTATTTTTGTGTCGAACCCGTGCTTGCACAGGCTTGCTATCGTCTAGCATTACTATATATAGTATCAAGTCGAAGAATCCTTTATAGTGTACCTATTTGGACATAACAGAATCATATAAATATCATGACAATAACTTTTAAAATATTTCGTGCCTCAATCCAAAAATCTCTCGAAACAAATTATAAGATGAATATAGACAGAATTAATAACAGCAAAAAGTTTATTATAATTTCTTTAAGACCGTTGTTTATCTATATTACTAAATATTTGGAACAATAACTTTACAAAACTTCAAAACAACAAAGTTTAAAGTATATTTTCAAAATCAAAATGTTAAAACTAATAACGAATATATGATCTGCAACAACACATAAATAATATTGAAAAGAAAAAAATTATATCCACTGAATACAAAGTGTATTCTTATGAAAATTATCCTCCTCAAGCACATGAGGTTAATGGAATATATTTTCACAAGACAAAACAGTCTTACTTACCGTTGTATTAATACAAAAAACGTCACCGTGAGTGAACCATTCAGAGGCCAATAAAATACGCTAGAATTTGTTTGTGCAAAATAAGAAGTTTAGAAACTTCGTTCTTGTAAAAAAAGAGGAAACCCCTCCTTGTAATAATTAGTAAACAACAAAGGGTAGTGTCAAAAAGTTCTTATTGTGCATTATTGAAAAAGTTACAATTCTTTGAAAGGTTACAATCTTTCAAAATAGTCACAACATTTTGAAAAAGTTGCAACCTTTCATAAAAATCATAACCTTTCGAAATAGTCGCAATATTTCTGAAAAGTTGCAACCCTTTGTAAAAGTCATAACCTTTTGAAATAGTCATAACATTTCTGAAAGCATCCCTTCATAAAAGTCATAACCTTTCGAAATAGTCGCAACATTTTCGCAAAAGTTGCAACCCTTCGTAAAAGTCATAAACTTTTGAAATAGTCACAGCATTTTCAAAAAGTTGCAACCCTTTGTAAGAGTCATAATCTTTCGAAATAGTCACAACTCTTCAGAAAATTCATAAATCTTCATAAAAGACATAACTCATTATTTTCCACTCACATCTTTTAAAACTAACAAATTATTTGGCCATATTACATTAATTTATAGACGACTCTCCCTATATATACAGTAGAAAATTTGAAGTCTTCCATGTCATATTCTCTTTTCTTGAATGAATATTTTCTGCAAGAAAAATCTAGCTAAAAAAAAAGTTAATCTTTTTTACATCCTTTCTCAAAAATTCGTTTATTCCTTGTGTGAATTTCAACTCAATCATTGTGTGTATACTTGTTAAAACATGTGTCTACCATCTTTACCTTTTGATATCATTATCTCACTTCTTTTGCTTCTCCCTCCTAGAGAACTAATCAAGTTCCTTGTTACTTGTAAATCTTTGTATGCCTTGATAAAAAGTAAAAAATTAATCAAGGAGCATCTTGAGACATCAATTATAAGAGGAAAAAATTATGTTCTATGTACGTATATTGAAAACAATTATGAAAAAACTTTTATGTTTAATCAAAAAACTTCTCACTATGAGTCTATATTAAGAGTCTCTTTAGACTCACCAGACATGTGGAATTGTATTGTGGGTTCAGTTAATGGTCTAATTTGTTTCGAAAATATTAATCCTGAGGTTCATACTATATATTTGACTAATCCATCTATAAACAAGTCCTTGATCCTTCCCCCTTCAACTATTCATAGTGATGATTCTGAGCTTCAATTTAGGAAAATGTGTATAGGTTTTGGTTATCATGAAAGGACCGATGATTTTAAGGTTGTTCGTATTGGATTTATTGATCATGTTTGGTTAAATGAAGAATATAATTATGAAGAGGTTGGTGGATATGATTTTGAGTGTAGGGCTGAGATATTTTCACTAAATACCAAGGTTTGGAAAGCACTTGATTTGAGTCATGATTTTTGCTACAATAGAGTTGATTTATTTTCAGGAGTTGTTGTTAATGAATATATGCATTGGAAGGCTATTAAGAGCAACACTTATGAAAATAAAATGGTTATTTTGACATTTCATATGGGGGATGAAACATTTCAAGATATTGAATGTCCAATATTTTATGATGGAGAGGAGATTAATCAATCTATATATCTTGGTGAATTTAGAGGTAAACTTGGATTTCTTAGATCATATCCAGTAAAGTTGGGACAACCTTGTTACATTTGGACAATGGAGGAGTATGGTGAAATGAATTCTTGGACTTGTCAAACTATTATTGTACCTAGCTTGCCAATTCAATATCCATTGGCTTTTACAAAAAATGGACAAATTATAATTAGAGATAAATATGAGAACATATTTAGCTATGATTACAACACTAATCAACTCCTTGATTTACATATACAAGATGATGAACATGCTATGAATTTTATTGACTATACTGAAAGCTTAGTTTTGGTTGATCTTAATGATGATCCAATGGAGGAGAGTATTGCTGAATTTGATGAGGACATTAATATGGAACATGTAAGTATTTTTAGTCTCTTTTGGAATGTCATTTATTGAAATAATACCTGATATGGTTACTCAACTTTGAATAGTTTACTTAGAAAGTCACTCAACTTTGATTGTTTTATTTTTTTTAACTCAAAAGTTATTCAACTATTGGTGTTTCACTTAGAAAGTCACTTAATCAATTTAAATAACTTTTTTTCATTAAATTTTATAAGAATACAAAAAAATAATTAATTACTTCTTACCAATTCAAAATTTTCTTTATTGGTAATCTTTTAACAATTTATTTCTAGTTTTACGATTAATAGAATCGAGATTTTCTTTTTGGGGGAGGGGGGTTGCAGTTGTTACTGTAATAAATAGGTATCTTATTTTTTTAAAAAAATAGTTTAAAATAAAATTTAATAAAAAAATTATTTAAATTGATTGAGTGACTTTATAAGTGAAATATAAATAATTGGGTGACTTTCTAAGCTAAACATCAAAATATAATGATTTTTGGGTTATAAAACAAAGTTAAGTGACTTTCTAACTAAATGACTTAAAATTGAGTGACTTTCTAAGTATACAACTCAAAGTTGAGTGACCATATAAGATATTAACTCTTCATTTATTTCAGTCTCAATCGGCATTTGAATGTGCATAAGTAGACAATTAAACTTGTGTAAAACTAAATAATTACGTCCTACATT